TTTTCAAGGTCCACCATTTCTTACTTCTTTTCAGTCGGGTCAAAGTTCCTGAACTTTCTAAATCTCTGTTTCTGGCTAATGAAAAGAAAATAGGATTCCACCAAGTCTCCTATCTACCTACTTCAGGACTTCTGTGAGGATCAAATGAGATGAGGCACGGGAAAACACTTCACAGATGTTTGGTTAAAGTGTAAAATGTTTCCCCCTGGCTAAAGTGTTCCTGGGCTGAAGAAACTGCAAGGAGGCTAGTTGTCGCTAGGGAGAGGAAGCTGGGCGTTGCTACGTGACATCATTACCTGGATGGAGGGAAAGACACTTAGCATATTAGCCTTTTATATAGATAGATGCCTTCAAAATTATTCTGGAAAATGAAATATACATAGAATATAAAATTAAGAAAGACTAGCATTACAAAATGCTACCTACTGGTCCTTCATTTTTCTCTCTGATTCCTATTTTTACATCCGCGCCCCTCCTCCCCCCCATCTTTGTTCTCACATGTCACTTTTTTAATATATTTAATTATTTACTTTCTTAGGTTTCTTGATTCTTCATTTTGTACCGTTTCTCCGGCATTTCTTGCTTCTCAACATTTGCTTTGCATGCCTCATGCTCTTAATATATTGGCCATTTCCCTTAAAACAGACCCCTGTGGTTGTTCTGAGTTCAGTACTCCCGAGAGACCCAGCTGGTAGGGTTATATCAGCTTTAAAGTCACCATGCTCACGTGGAGGTCAGGAATGTGAAAGGCCACCCTGCCTGTGCCAAGGGCCCATTAGAGCCAGAGGTTTGGGAGTTTAGGGATATTCTTAGTGAGCTTTTCTTGAAGAATTGACTTTAGAAAAGCCTGGAATGAAGGGGTCAGCTAAGAAAAAGGCATTTGGGATAGTAAGACAACTTATTTTTCTTGCACATTGAATCATGTTTTCAAAGAGAAGATGGTGTTTTGATTACGGACTTATTATTCTGTCTGCCACATCCACCAACATGAAGTTTCCAAATTAGAAAGATACTCAGAGAGCACAGTCAAACAGAAGCATATTATAACTAGCTTTGGCGTTAGCCCCAAACCTCAGGGTAGAATGTTAGTTCTGTGAGGTGGGCTGGCTTACGATGGTGCTGGTTCTATCAGTGGTAAAAATTTTCTCACAACTAAACATTTAATGTTAAAAGGAACACTAAGGAAATTATGATAGAGCACTGAGTAGGTTACTGTGTAGTTGCCTATGAAAATTTTGAAACAATAGGCAAGGCATTCTTTCAGTAAATATTTAGTGAATACCTACTATATGTCAGGTACTATTCTATGTGCTAGGATTTCAGTGGAGGGAGAACAAGACAGACAAGGTGTTAGCTCTCTTGGAGCTGACATTCAGCTGAAGGGAGAATGTGGACAAGGGTAAGTGGAACATGGTACAACTATGCAACACTGGGAAGACCATGGGGCAGATAGGGTGCTGGGTCTATGGGTGTTCTTGTTTCTTTTCTTTTGCTAGACTTCCTGAAATATGACATACTTTTGTCATTAAATTTTATTTATGACAGGCAAAATACAAGTTTTAGGATCTTACTCATTTCCATCATCATGGTATATACCCGTGGTCAGCAAACTGCGGCTTACGAGCCACATGTGGCTCTTTGGCCCCTTGAGTGTGGTTCTTCCAAAGCCTTAAGAGTACCCTAATTAAGTTAATAACAATGTACCTACCTATATAGTTTAAGTTTAAAAAATTTGGCTCTCAAAAGAAATTTCAATCGTTATACTGTTGATATTTGGCTCTGTTGACTAATGAGTGTGCCGACCACTAGTATATACTAAGTAATACTGCTTTAAGAGTTGTATGATTTCTGATACATATGGTATGTGTTGGTAAAACTAGGAAACAGAAATAATATAACCTTATATTAAAACACAGTAGTTGCATTATTAGAAAATAGTGCATAATGTGAAATAATTTAGTATGAGTTCCTTTATTTGAAAATTCCTTAACCCCCAGAAATCTTGTTCTATGTCTCATTCTAAGAGGAACACATGTTTCAAAGTCCTGGGTTCTTTTTGTAAGAGAGGTTGGCTCCATTTTAGGTGAAATGACAATGAAAAGCCACACTGTGTCAGAAATATCTATATAAGTGCATCTAATATCAAGTTATATTAGAGGACAAAACAGAGGACATTTTAAATGTAGGGTTTATATACGTTAATGTTTGCTGCATATGGTTTGAATAATTTTCATGGATTAATTATAATTCTCAGCTATTTTGTTATATTTTTCTTTAGTTTTTTAAATGGTGTCTATATTAATAAAGATATATCATAAAAAGCTTAAATAGTATAAAGTACCCCCCCAAAATGTAATTAATTTCCCTAGCTGTAAACATGTCGGTATTGTTAATTCATCACATATTTTTCAGTGCATATTCAAACATACATCGAAATCTTTTTTTTTTTTTTTGACCCAATGTAATCATACTGTTAGAGTCCATTTTGAAGGCTTAAAATAGAGTAGCTTAGCCAGTTACTCTGTATTACTGTTCGCTGATGTGGACTAAGATGGTAGGTAATTCTTTTTTCTTTCTCTCTTCAGAAACCATGGACAGAGGCGAACCCCCTCCAACATTGTCCTCATCTTCGCCCTCTTCCCCTTCGCCCACGCTGCGCAGGCAAAGGCCTGAGATCGGAGCGTTCCCCAGAAAGAAGAAAACTAGCGACTTCTACTTCGTGACCCTCGTCTGGGCCATCATTGCCGTCCAGCTCTGGTTGAACCTGTGGATCGTGCAGCTGCTGCCAGTGCCCATTGCAGGTGACTGTTAATTAACATCTTATTGTTGAAATGTTTTCCTTTTAAATTTTAATACTTGGGATCATTTTACTCTCTTTTTAAATTAAATGATCATATGTCTGCATTTAAATAAGCATTATTTTGGAAATTTGTTACTTGATTCCTCTTTAATATTTCTTCTTTCTGTGGAGGAGAATGTTAGCAATCTGGGTTTAGGGTTTTATGATTGAATTTTGAGAGCTGCTCTTAGTGAAGTGCATTTTACATTCCATTTTTAATTCAGTGGAAATGTGGGTTTTGAGAACTATAATGTATGCAAAATCATGATTTGTTTTTATTTGACAGAAAATTAAGTTATATGTACATGTCATATGTTTTGTATCAAAATGGAATCATACGGCTTTTCAAAAATCATTAAAGCTAGATCTTTGTACCTGAATACCATGATTAAAAGACACCTTTAGAGAGGACAAGACAATAGAGGTGGGCCTTAAATTACCATGGTATTCAGGTACAAAGACCTAGTTTAATGATTTATGAAAAGCCATAGGATTCCATTTTGATATGATACATGTGCTATATGTGTACATAGAATTTAATTTTTTGTCAAACAAAAATAAAGCCTTCTAGTCCCACCACCTTCTCAGTTGGCCTTTACAGGAAGCTTACCCCCTGCGCGAAGGGCCGCTGCATTGCCTAACTGCAGAGGGCACATTCATATTGTGGTCTGTGAATGGTCCCCAGCCTCGGGCCATTTGTAACAGCCCTGCTTGTCCCCAGCCTGCTTCTCTCCTGAATCCTGGTAAAAGATTCAGATGTGTAGCACAACATCACTTAAAGAAATAGGAACGTAAACGAAAACGTTACCTGAAGTGGTATAAAATCATGATGCGGGTGGAATACCTTTACTTTTCTGGTCACTAAACAAAAAATCTCAGGAAAAGAACAAAATTTGGCAACAGCAACTATAATAGCCAAGGAGATTAGAACATGTCAGGGGTTAGTATTCTTTACCCCAGAAGGGGTATGGTGTGAGGGGCCTGGGCCGTAGTCGCTGAAATCTTCATGATCAAAATAGGCTGTAAAATAATCCCTGACTCCTCCGGGATTCAGACTCCACAAAGAAGGTGGTATGTGTGGGAGCAAGTGGGGATTGTGTGAAAAGTTGCTTGTCCCAATACCATCATTTTGGAATACCTTGAACTTTCTTCCTTCCTCTCCTTTTTTAAATCAATCTTGACTTAAATACTAGCTCTACTGTTTTAAAAGGGTCACATGAAACTAAGGGACCTTTTTCTGTGATAACCTTGTAATCTGCATTTTGTTCATACATGTATTTCTTATCTTCTTTATAGTCTGGATACTCAAAAAGCTTGTCATTCACTTTGGAGTCGTGGACTTCCTGGAGAAGCGCTGCGCCGTGTGGTGGCGGGTCGTGGAGCGCTTCCTGAAGGACCGGCAGGAAGCGCTAGCGCCATGGCCAATTGTCGGACTTGGGAAATTCTTGTTAAAAGTTGATAGCAAGGTAATGTATTTTGAGAACTTGGGCTGTTTTAATGGAATTTATCCATTTCATTGTCTGAAATATTCCATTTTATGGTGTTTATACTGGAATTTAAATATCATTCTGTGGTGGAATTTAAAGTTTAGAATTATGGTTTATATAAGGATAGGATATAAAGGACCAAATTGAAATCCAGAGGGTTAAGTGACTTGCCTAAAAATTATAGCCAGGTAGTGGCTCAGTTTAGTGAATATTTTTACAGTAATTCCCGTGTGTCAGATATTGTGTTAAGCCCTCGGGAAAAAACAGATGAATCAACAGAAAACTAGATGCAGAATTTCTGTGTAGGGAGAGACAGCGGTCCATTAAAATGTAGAGACAGTGGTTAGAGTCAGAGGTTTAGTGGTTAAGAGCATGGACTCTGAGTCCAAATTCTGGTTTCAGATCCCAGTTCAGCTACTTATTAGCTGTGTGACCTTGGATGAGTTTCTTAACCTTCTTGTGCGTTTGTTTTCTTATCAATGCAATGAGTGTATGAGCATGTACTGCATAGAGTGGTTTGTATTAAATGAGTTAATACATGTACAGCTCCTAGATCAGAGCCTGGTACACAGTAACCTCTATGCAAGTGTTAGTAGTTCTGATTTGTGGAGGAAAATATGTACAAGATATAGTGATAGTACTCAGCAAAAAAGTGACTCAGTGTTGGTGAGGTAATGGGAGAGGGGTGGTTTTGTAGAGGTGGTGATGCCAGGGCAAATTCTGAAGCACACGTAGGAGTAGACGTGGCAAGAACAGCACATGGATGGACAGTGCAAAAGCACAGAGACTTGCACAGCATGAATTCTTAGAGAATGCCAAGGAACTGGTCATGGCTGGGCTTTGTGAAACAGTGCTTAGTGGGAGGGAAGCCTGGAGGTCAGGTGGGACTGGATCGGGAAGGTCTTTTTGTGTGCTATGCTGTGCAAGCTGGACTCTATCACAGAAGCTAGTAACTACTTCCTTTAACTGGTGTATTCATGACTTAGGTTGAGAAATGCTGTTAAGTGAAACCAGCGTAGGTATTGGTGAGGATAATAACTGGAGTGTGTCAAGGGGGAGGAAGTGAATCTTTTAAATGCTTATTGAAATATCCAGGGTCAAAGGAGAAGCAGGGGATATATTTTCTTGCATAGTGCCTGGCTGTCTTCCAGAAAGTTTGTCAGTTTTAATTCCCACCAGTGCACCATGTGAAAATATGTATTTCCTTGAGCCCTTGCCAAGGAATATTATAGTGCAACAAAAAGGACTTTTTAGTTTCATACAAAGAAGTATCTCACTGTTGTTTTAATTTGAAATTTTAAAAATTAAAAATGAGGCTGACCATCCTTTTCCATACTTACTGGATATTTATATTTTTCTTTCGTAATTTGCCTATTTGTGTTGTTACTAATTTTTTTTTTCAACTTTTTAAGAACGAATCTAAGACTTTGCATAAATTTCAGCATATTTATCACATCTTCCTTGTGTTAGGGTGAAGCTTTATCTTATGAGAACAGATTCAGCACGTCCAACTGTGTAAAGAGGGTATCTTATTTTCAGTTAATGCTTTGTCTTTCCACTGTCAGGATAGAGACTAAATCCTATTTTCAGCGTTCTCATGTACTTGTATTTGAACCCTTTATTTAGGAAAACTGTACAGTTGTGTCAGTTGAAGTTCCAGGCATCTAAAAGTATTTGTTATGGGGTAGCCTTGTAAAAATTTGTCATTTTTATTCTAATTTGTTTGCCAATTTGTTTTTCTTAGGGAACAGAGACAGTAAAATGAATAAAACTGGCTTTTTCTGCTGTATAACAATCAGAATAAATGGCTATTGCAAACTGAATATTTGTTTAATTATAATTGATGCCAAATTTATGTTCTGTCTAGTATAATAAAATGTATGGGCTGTTGCTTTGGGAGTAAATCTATTTTTCATGTTTCTATTAATTTTAATTGATTGGACCAGTGTTTCTGAAATGATTCATCTACAGAGGATTGTTTGAAGAATACCTAAACGTGCTTTGGGTATACTTCAGGGAAAACGCTGCAAAGAGCATTTACAGTCACTGATGAAATTACAGTTTTTATTAGCCTTTATACTTCTTATAGCACTAATAATGCTCTAAATTCTGTCTACCGATTTTTAGGTTATGTGTCCACTAACTAGCATTAGTTACTATAGTGCTAAATATTGTGGGGTTTGGATGAAGTAACATTTATGTGAAAAAAAAGCAAGGTAATGCTTTTGCTTTTTTGTAGAAAAATGTGTGCCTAAGAAATTGGGATGGAAGGAAATATACCATATAGTAACAGAATCTTAGTATGGCCTGCTGTTATCCAAGTGTCCTCTATTCCAAATGAGCACTAGAATGTTTTTTCTCTTTAAAACATGTGAAATAACTAATACTATAAAACTGCAACTATAGAGTTCAATGAAAATGTACTATGGGAACATAAATTGGTTTATACAGGGACTAAAAATCCTTTTGGGGCGTGATATGCGAAAGGATCTTAATTATTACTCTCATCTTTGGAATTTGGTGTGGCTTTTTAAGGCTACAAGCTTTCAGCTTATTTTATGTATTTTTAATTGTTGAATTGCCAGCAAAGCTTGTGCTTATCATCATCACTATAATCATTGTATATCTTAAAGGAATACTACATTCATTCGATTTATATCTTTGTAATGCAGTTTTTTTTTTTCTTTCTAGCTTTTCTTTTGTTTGGGATAATTTCCTCCCCATGCTCTCGGTGACTTTCTTTTCTTTTCATACTGTTATTGCATTCTCTAATGATATTCCACTGTTCTTATCTTCTCTCTCTCACCTTACTCCCCATCCCCAAGCTCTGGCACTGGCTAAATAAGAAGGTAAATGAACACACGGATGTTGGTTTTTGCTGTTCAGTTCTGTAACTTCTCTCTGTATCTCTGTTCTCACTCTTTCTGTCCGTATGTCAAACTAAGTTTTTGTTATTAAAGTTCTAATGATAAGCTATGGAAGGTCATGAAGCATTGAGACTGTCCCAGTACAATTTGCTAAAAACCCAAAGCTATTTTATTGAGGATATTGGTAGTGTCTCCTTGCTCAAGTGTGTATAAGAAGTTCTGTCTTATATTCCTTTTGTCCACTGTGATTTCCATTCCTTTTTCAGCCCTATAATGTGGCTTAGCCTGATACTCTAGTCTCCTTTGATGTGTGAGGGCACATAGGCAATCAGTTACTAAAAAGGAAAGAGAATTCTTTGTTGCTAATTTTTCAATAAGTGACACAGGAAGATTTCAGAAGATAAATCTGTGAAGTATTTGTGTAATTCCCTAGATTGGTAATTTTAGGTTTTGACTAGTATCCCAAAATTTTATATTTAACTTAAAAAAGATGGTAGTCATGTTCTGTGAAGTCTAATTTCATGTTTCCCAAGATATAGTTTGTGTCTGTGGTAAATGGTTTCCATGACTGGCTTGGGATTCTAAAGGTACATTTTTTAAAGACTTCCATAACTTTAATAACTCCAGATATATTAGGAGAGCTATACCTCTAACAAGGTCTGCATAAGTAGTTCTAGATGTAATTTCATTCAATACTTAGGACAGATAGCAAAAGGTGACATCATTTACATGTATTATGTTTAAACACAATAAGACTAAAAGTTTTTAGTGGAAATACTGTTAAGAAATACTTTAAGAAAGACGTGGTACTTGGAAATAGGTCCGAATGACACTTTTATATGTAGAGATTAGGGTTTCAATTTGTTGAAACGGGAAAGGGGAGACTTTTGACCTAAACTTTGGATTGAGAATAAACATTGTGTGGAGTATAAATAGATACACACCACAACTGCACGTACATCTACACAAATAAACACACACACACACGTATGGATGCATATACCTGTTTCCTACAAAACGTGTAAATGAGTGTAATCCTTGGCAGATGATAGTGCTTCAAACATATGTCACATTTTCTTATTTTGATCAAAGCAGTGGTTTAAATGTATTTTCCTAATTTGTATATGTAAGGTGTCCCCCCAAAATGTGTATATACTTTAACATCTGATAGCTCAACTTTGAAAATGAAATGTATTTTACTAAACATTGCCTTTATAATTATTCAAAGTGTGTGTATACATTTGTTGGGGACAACCTATATATTGAAATGAAATTTTCCTCAAAAGACGAAAGGAGACCTAAAGTCATTAGGTTTGATTTAAAGTTAAAGTTAGATTACCTAATTCATGAGCCAAATTCCAGCTGATGAGTGAGTTTTAAAAGATTCCTAAGAGATTAAGTAGCTTTTGTCTTTTCCTTGCTGATGCCATGTAGCATAGATAAAGCATTGGTGTGGAGCTGGAGTAACTGCTTGCAGTTCTGAGAGTGTGTGCTCCAGGAAAGCACTCAAATAAGTTGAAGATCATTTCATTACATGACATCCAAGGTCGGAAATTGCAGCATTGGGTATTTAGTATTCCGAGCTCAAGTGGAGTGAATTAGGAAAATGAGAAGTGAGGGTGAAAGAGGACAAATCTTACGGTTAACTAAAATTGCAACCGATTTCTCAAGGCTTAATTTAGTTAAAAAAAGAAAGCATCATAAAAACCTACATTCATGATAGAATAGAAACGTAAGTAGTGGCAGGACACTTTTTAATAGCTTGATAAATAAGGCCAGTGAGTTTAGAAATTTGAGTGTCTTTGATATAACTATAAATTCACCAACATCTCTTAATTTTTACACTTGAAACACCCAGAATGTCACTTAAAATTTTTTTCTCTTCCCCTTTTAGAAAATAAAGTTTAACCACTAAAATGATTTCTCAAAGCCTCGAAGACTGGGGAAAGTTCTAGGGACTGCGATTTCCGTGAGCAAGGCAGTGGTGACGGGGTGTGGTTTCCTTTGTCCAACGTAGAGCAAGGGCAGGGTCAGCCTCATGGGACAGCACCTCCAGCATTCCTTCAGGCTTCTCCTCCACCTGCCCCTTCTCCATGGCTTCCTCTGGTGTTTCTCTTTCTGTGTCTGAGTTTCTGTTTCCTTGTGAGTTTTGCTCCATTCATTCACTCTTTCAGGGAATTCTTTTCCTCCATATAAGTTTTGTATCCGTTTTGTTTTTTTCTCCTCTTTTGGGCCTCTGTTCTGTATACCAAACCCCTCTCCACATTTGTTTCTTCTTTTTCTTGACTTTTCTTTCTTTCTTTATTCTTTTTTATTTTTCTAATCCTATCCTGAGGATATGTTTCTTTAATTGATGAGAGAGAGAGAGAGAGAGAGAGAGAGAGAGAGAAACATCAATTGGTTGCCTCTTGTATGCGCCCTGACTGGAATCAAACCCGAAATCTTTTGGTGTATCGGATAACACTCCAACCAACTGAGCCACCTGGCCAGGGCTTCTCTCTCTCTTTTGCTGTCTCTTTTTGTCCTGTGTTTTGTTTTGTTTTTAAATCTAATCTTAACCACCCATAATGTGAATAGAAGCTCCTCCAACTTTTTTTAGCTTATGAATTGAGGTTCCTAAATGGTTTTATTTTAAATTTTGAATGAAACAGATAACCCTTACTGTTATTCCTTGAATATAAATTTTTATTTAGGTAACTCTTAGTATGGATTTTTTCCCACCCTTAGGTATACAGCTTGTGATAGGAAAATTCTACCCCGGTTGAAAAATATAACATTTAATTTTGTAATGTTGATGTACATAATGTGTTTGTGAATATTCCATGGTTTATATGTTAAAAATACCCAGACATAAATTCATTTATTTATTTATGTATTTATTTTAATATATTTTTATTGATTTCAGAGAGCAAGAGAGAGGGAGAGAGAGAGAGAGAAACATCAGTGATGAGAGAGAATCATTGATGGGCTGCTTCCTGCACACCCCCTACTGGGGATCGAGCCTGCAACCTGGGCATGTGCCCTTGACCGGAATTGAATCCGGGACCCTCCAGTCCACAGGCTGATGCTCTATCCACTGAGCCAAACCAACTACGGCTAAATTTAGATATTTATACTTTGTAAATAGAACATCATTTATGTTTAAAAATGCATTTTAGGATATGACTTTTCTAAAAAAAAAAAAATGGAGGCTCTCAAGTTATTTTCAGAAATTATAATTTGTGAATACAAATCTGGTCTTATTTCTGAAATTATTTTATTTATGCTTGCCTATTTAGGTATATATTAACTGAGCACTGTTAGGTTTTGGGGAACAAAGAGGAGTAATATAATACTAGCCCTTTATTCAGGAAGTTGTCTCAAGAACTATGTGTAGAGTTGGTTTCTGATTGTGAAACTCTTCAGTTTCATTGATTTTAGAACTTACATTAAAAATATGACATTGACCTTCCATATCTTAGAAACCTGTTACTATTGTTTTTTTTAATCTCTGCATTGTCTTCCATGCTTTGGTGGCATGCACTGAAAATTAACTCTTCTGTTTGAAGCTGTAATAGTCAAGATAGAAGATGAACTTTTTATCTTTGAGTTTGCTGTAGCATTGATCTCTTAGTGACAGGATTCTTCATGAAAGATAAAGGGAATGCAAGCTTGTGAGCCTTGAATGGAAATTAATTTTTTAGAAGTCATGTTATTTTGTGTTGTTGTTTTTAATAACCATTCTTTGCTTTTGGATGTTTAACTCACTGTTTGGAGAGCATATTTCAGATTTAAGTGAAGAATAACTTAATCACAACATTGTAGTTCATGTTAGAGTTGAGGGTTGCAATGTGGTGTTTCAGCAGTCACCAGTCTAATTGGTTGTATTTTTGAAATGTTAAATACTAGCTTTGCATGGCAAGAATTCTATACATTTATCAGAATGATATATTCTGAAAATAAAAATTTTTATATGTGGGATTATTTGTGATTGTGGAAAATGAGAAAAGTTAAACTCAAAATAGAATGTCAAATAGCATTGAGGGAGAGCATAATTTTAATTATTGATTTAGGAATAACCACTACATTAATGATTATTTTTTATTTGCAGTCAGTTATAACTTGTCACAAAGCTTGTATTATAAAAAAAGTATAGAAATTTCCAGCAGAATACCAGATTTTTATGAGTATTATGAATTATTTTAAATAGTAAAAGATGTAAAGAATACCCATGAGACTACCTTCCAACTTCATAAAACATTACTTATATAATTGAAGCCCATTTTGTATCCCTCCCTGACCCTTTCCCCACCCAGAGTAACTATTATTCTGAGATGGGTATTTATCATTACTGTAACATTGGGCTTTTATTATTGGTTTTGTAATCCTACTGATATCAAAAGGGAAACATATATTGAAAGTAATTTCTATTTTAATTTGCTCCTATTTTATCTATATATAATTTAGGACCTATTTTTATAAAAGTCACACTTTTTCTAAAGTCATCTATATTTGCTAATTGACAGTAAAATTTCAAAAGATTTGAGGTCAGCTAATTGATTATCATTATTTTGTTTAGAAATATTTACCAGATTATCCTATATAATAAAAGGCTAATATGCAAATTGTCCCCTCAACCAGGAGTTCGACTGGGAGTTCGATCAGGAGGCAGCGAGGGTTGGTCAACCGCCTACAGCCCCTTCCCCCAGCCGGCCCAGCCCAATAGGCCCTGATCAGGGCAGGCTGGCCAGACCCCACCTATGCACAAATTCATGCACCAGGCCTCTAGTAAATTATAATTTGAAATGTAAATTACCATAATATGACAGTTCAGTCATAATGATTATGTTCACTTTGACTGCTTTTTCTTAGATGTGACAATAAAAAGCTCTTTATATACTAGTAGCAGCAATAATTTAATACCTAATTTTATAAAGTTGCTTACAGTTTTCACTGCTTTAGTCATTATTCCATAGTTTGCTTTGCAGTGTTGAATATCCTATTTTGTCTTCATTATATTTGAATACATATGTGTTTTTATTAAGTTGTACTTTACAGCTAAGTAATCCTCTCTTTTATTTCTGTGCAGATTATCATCTGGTTGGAGAAGATGTTAGACAAAATAATTAGCATTTTCATCATATTTTTGTTAGTAATAGGAACCCTTCTTTTAGCCCTACTCCTGACTGCAAAGGTAGAGTACAATAATTACTATTACCACTAGTAAACTCTTAATTGTTAGAAGTGTAGTATGGATAAGAAGCTGATAGTATGGAAAATGTCATTTTGCTTGTAAATATGTATAACTGCTATAACATAATTTGTATTACTGGTTTTGCCATGAATTTTTTTACCTAGTATATTTTTACATGCATTATTATTTTATTATCATCAAATCCTCAGATGTAAATACAGATACAAAAATTGAGATACAGAGGGACAAGTGGCTTCTTCTGTCAATAGGAAAACTATAGTCTTATGACTCCTAATCTAGTTAGTACCTTGTTCACTAGATCAGAATTTTTTGACTAGCTCCTTCCTTCTTGCCTCATTGGTCTGTCTGCTGATATACCATAGGTTTTTACTTCTCACTCTGCAGGTCCTTCCAGCTTACATTTCCTCTCCCCTTCTTTGTTCAGACTGCTATAACAGAATGCCATAGACTAGGTGGCTCGAACAACAAGGATTTCTTACAGTTGTAGAGGCAGAAGCCCAGATCAGGTGCCAGCGTGGTTGAGTTCTTGGTGAAGGCCCTCTTCCTGGTTTGCAGATGGCTGTTCTTTTCTTTGTATCATTATATGGCAGAGAGAACTGTCATCTGTCTCCTGTACTGTATAAGGGCACTAACCCCATTCATGAAGGGTCCACCCTCATGATCTAATTACTTCCCAGTGGCCCCACCTCTTAACCATCACAATGGAGGTTAGGATTTCAGCAAATGAATTTGGGGGAATGCAGACATTCAGTTCTTAACACTCCTCTTTCATCTCATCAATGAATATCATTGTCCCAACTAAATGGTATCTATAAAGAGATACATTTTAAATTCAAAGGCATTAAAAGATTTGATAGTAAAGGGATTTTTAAAAAGATACACCATGAGAACTATAAACATAATAAATCTGGTGTGGTTATATTAATATCAAGCAATTAAAACAAGAAATCTCACTACACACAAATAATGATAAAACAGTACTGCAGCAAGATACAACAATTATGAATGTGTATATTCTAATGATAGCTCTAAAATACATGAAGCAAATATTCAGAATTAGAAGGAGAAATAGACAAATCAAAGATTATAGGTAGGAATTGACTAATACTCCTCTTGCAACAATTGGGAGAGTAACTAGGTAGAAAATTAGTAAGAATAAACAAGCCTTGAAAAACAGTTAGTATGACCTGACAGTAGCAGAATCGTGTTCTTTTCAAGTAAATATGGGATACTCACTAGGATAAACCATATGCTCAGCATGCTAATTTAAACAAAGTGAAATCATATAGAGCCTGTTTCCTGACATTGGCTTGTTCCTTTTTTTAATCCCTCATTTTGCTGATTATTGGGCAAGGTAAATTTGGAGTAGTTTCTGTTGTTTTGTTTTTTTTATTACTCAGAAACCTTATTCAATTGCTTATATTTGCCTGTGTATCTTGCATTGTATTATAATTCTTTAATCTCTTGTAGTGTTGATACTGCATATAAATATATATAATATGTATTACACATATACTTACACTATACACACGTGAACTATATTTATATATTATTGTGTATATGTGTATTTGTATGTATCTATTTACATATTTTTTGCTTAAGTAAATTGTTGAGCTTCTTGAAGGCAGGGACCTATTATGTACATTTTATTTTCCATAGTGTGTGTGATAGATATTATGTAGCAGCTGTTCAGTGCATATTTCTAAATTAACTGCAACTAAGATGTATAATTATCTGACTCTAAAATATTGCTCCAATAATAATTGGGAGAATAAATAGATAGAAAATTAGAAAAAATAAATGTAGAAGAATAAATGTTTAGTTGGGTTTATTTTTTATTGAGATTCTTTTTATCTCATTTGTGATGCAGGTACATCAAGAAAGTGTGCACATGATTGAAGTCACAAGTAGTTTGATTAATGAAACTCTAGCAAATCACCCTGAGTGGGCAAAGTAAGAATATTGTTTGACAACAACAAAAATAGAGTTGGATGACCTCGGTTCAGTATCTGTTTGCATGAAATAGTCTTCATTGATGCATTGCCTTGGAAGAGAAAAGATAGGGTTTGCTAAAGCTTTGATGAATGCTGTCATTTTTGCAAAAGAATTGCATGTAATCTGGGAGAGGGGTTGGTGGGGAAGTGCTTAAGATTTTGGAAACAATTTATAGTAAATGATACCTTATATCTGAACTGAGAGTTACACTTCATAGCATGTTTATAATTTACAAAGTCCTTTCACCTGCTTTGGGACCTGTCTTCCTCCCAGTGACTGTGCAGTAGGTTGAAGAGATTATATCCATTTTACAGATGAGGAAATAGGATTGAAGGTTAAGGAACTTGAAATTATAATCTACCAGCAGAGTCAGCCCTCACATCCAGTGTTTCTGATCAAGTACCATTCCATGTCGGAGAGTTTTAAAAAGCTGTTTCATGAAAGGTCTGATTCTTTTGCAGCTAATTAGTGAGGACGAATATGCATTAATAGTAATGGCTTCTTGCACATCTCAGTATTCAGTAGATTCCTGTCCTGATGAAGGCGATTGACCTTGTGAGAAATTCTTGGATGTTCCTAGAGGGGATACAGTTAAGAATCCATCCGATATACTTTCTTCCAATATGGAGCACATTTTATAAGTCCTGTGTAGGCGCCCTGACTTCCTGTGGATGTGCTTGGTGAGCTGGTGGATAAATTAGAAGACTTAGGGTAGGGTCACCCTAGCAGAGCTTCAAAGAAAATGCAGTCAGATCACATCTTAATTCTTGTCTTGGACAATTCTATTAGTTTGGAACCCACTTTCTACTGACTAGAAGGTATATCAAAACTTGAGGGGCCACATGGTATGTTAGAAAGTTCCCTTTACTTCTGTATAATTGTTGGGGCTGTTCTCTTGGAAGTTCATATTGTGAAATAGATTAACTTTTACCCAGAAAGGTGAGGGCAGGCCAGTCCAAAATGTAAGAAGTTTCCACTCAGAGTAGAATTAGTGATTGACTGAGGTAGTGACTATCCTAAGGAAGGAGCTCAACATAGAGGCTGTGGTTCAGCGGTTCTCAACCTGTGGGTCGAGACCCCCTTGGCGGTCTAACGACCCTTTCACAGGCGTCACCTAAGACCACTCTGCATATCAGATATTTACATTACGATTTATAACAGTAGCAACATTACAGTTATGAAGTAGCAATGAAAATAATTTTATGGTTGGGTCACAACATGAGGAACTGTATTTAAACGGCCAGAAGGTTGAGAACCACTGCTGTGGTTGGTGTACAATCAGTTGGTCCCAAGGTTGCTCAGGTGTTTGTGGCCCATGTAGTGTTGATACTGCATATAACACACACACACACACACACACACACACACACACATGTCTTTGACGTGGCCTCAGGATAGCTCCACTTATCTGTTGCTGTGATGACACCTGTGTGAGTACATTGGACAAGTGTTTCCACTGAAACCAGCAAGACTTGTTATCAGGCCTAATAGTTGTTTGTTAGTCATTAAGGATCTATCTGGATGCCTCTACAGATCCTCACACTATCTCTACAGGATATAATCTATAATAATAAAAGCATAATATGCTAATTCAGTGGTTCTCAACCTTCCTAATGCTACGATCCTTTAATACAGTTATGAATACTGTTATGAATCGTAATGTAAATATCTGATATGCAGGATGTATTTTCATTGCTACAAATTGAACATAATTAAAGCATAGTGATTAATCACAAAAACAATATGTAATTATATATGTGTTTTCCGATGGTCTTAGACGACCCCTGTGAAAGGGTCGTTCAACCCCCAAAGGGGTCTCGACCCACAGGTTGGCAACCCACAGGTTGAGAACCGCTGTGCTAATTGGATTGGACGTCCTTCGGACGGCCTTCCAGACGAAGCCAGGGCTGCGAGGGAAGCCTGGGTCCCGGGTGCCAGAGGGAAGCCAGTGCTGGCAGCCAGGGGAAGGAAGGCCTACTCTTGCATGAATTTCGTGCATCGGGCTCTAGTTTTCCCATAAAAATGTAGTACCATATAATTGAAAGTGTTCAACAGACCCTTCAAAACACTTTAAGTCTGTAAATCCTAGAGTAATTTAAAAGCTACTTAAACTAATTTCTCCTAAATCACATCTCTTTAGAGATTCAAATTTCCTGTTCAGATCCTTATACTGTAAGATTATTACATTTATAAGTATCTCTAAAGTTTTACTTGCTGAGAAGTACTTGAACTGACTGAAAATTTGCAAAAAGCTTCACAAATATTTTGTTTCTGTGGAGTGTATGATGAACTCGTTAATATTAAAGATTCAAACCAATTTGTGGATGTCAGCATCTCTAGTACATAACATTGTGAGGAGCAGTTAAGAGAATTGTTTAGATACAGATTGCTGGGCTCTAGCCCCAGAGTTTCTTTTTCAGTGGGTCTGAGTTTAGGCCGGGTTTCTAAGCAGTTGTGATGCTGCAGGTCCGTGGACCACAGTTTGAAAACCACCATTGTGCATTCCAGGTGCTGACAATCATTGTCCCAGAACTACTTCCTCTGGTGCTGTGTGAACAAGGCAGGTGACCCAGGACTGGAGGGACAGAGAAACCCGGCAGAGCAGAATGAGAGAGAGGTTGTGGGGGAAGTGGATACAATAGATAAGGAAGGCTTGAAAATAAGTCCCGAATATTAGAATTAGGCCAATTAGGCCTGTAAGTCCAGGATTCCTGTGTGTGATTCATTTGTATTTCTGTGTTAATGGCTGTTCAGGAGTTTGTCAGTTCCTGATTGTTCAAGTACATCAAGTTCAAAAAGTTATGGGTGCAGTACACTAAAAGTGTGCTAATTGTTCATTTTCTTTCTTTATTTATTTAAATTAGTTGGCTTCCTGAGGCTCAGGTAGTCCAAAGAGCCCTCAATTCTGCAGCTAACAATGTGTATCAGTATGGACGAGAATGGATAACCCACAAGGTAAGGGAAGAGCCTCTCTTTGTGGATTTCTCTTTGCAAGTTCTTCATTGGCAGTGATTTCTTGCTTCGATAAAGCATAATTTCCGTTTGCAAACAGGTTTATATCTACAAGTCGACAAGCAACATACAGTGAAATTAGCCTTCTGCATGATCATACTGAATAGTGCTAGTAGCCTGAACAAGCTCAGAAGTTGGCCATTGCTTCTTGTTCAAGGTGGATCTGACTCATTATTTGTGCACTAGGAAGGAATGATCACTAAGCTTGGTAGTCAAATAAGGTTCTCAGGGGCAAAGAAGACAGAAGGAGTAGCCTGTGAGGTAGGAGGAAACCCAAACTGTGTGTCACAGGGGCCTAGAGAAGAAAATGTTTCAAGGAAGACTTGGCCAGCTAAGGCTTCACACAAGATGAGTACTGACTTGTCATCCCCATTTCATAGGTGAGGCTGTTCGCCTTAAGTCAGTCAGTTCTCAAATGGCATTGTGACTGCCCTTAATGCTTTACTGTTCTTCTTGGGCAAAGAGCATGTCACAACCCACCCACAGTATGTGTGCTTCCGTGATCCTGTTAGTAGACTCTGTGCGCTTTGGCCCCGTCTTCCCAGTTTTATAACATGCTATAAAATTGTGCTGAACTCTCCTTTACTGTTATAGTTGTGGTATTTTAGTTATTCCCTGTCGTGCTTGGAGTGAGCCTGCTGAAGGAGATGCCAGTTAGAAATGGTTCTTTATTGCAGTAAAGGCCACTGTGCCGACAATCTAGAGAAGGGGCTGTCAGTAACCTAAATTGTAGAACTCTTCTGGTTCCAGGGAGACTTCACGGGCTGATAGGAAAGTGACAGAAAGAATTGGGAATAGGAAGTCTGTGAGTCCTTGACAGTCATACTATGCAAAAGACACATTTAAAGAAATGAAAGGAAGTTAGCCTAGGGTAATTGTGGTTTTTAATTATTTCGGGTAATTTGCTCTATTAGGTGTTCTTTGTCCGTAGGTTATATAGGCTTGAGTTGAAAGACTATGAGAGAACTTTTCATCCTGAATCTGCCACTTGTCTGTGTAACTCTGAGCCTGTCATAGATCCTTTTTAAATCTGTTTTCTCAAATGAATAAAGGTGATGCCAAAACTATTTTCTGTCTAACTCATGGAGTTGTTGTAAAGATCACATAACGTAGGTGAAAGCCATTTGTAAATTGTACAATGTGATGAACAGATGAAGGCTTTGATATTCACAGAGTTGTGTTTGAATAAATCAATTAAATATAAAGAACAACATTGGGCAGATGTATTTGCATCAAATATGTCTAAGAACTGGTTTAAGCATCTATAAGGCCAGCATCAAGTGGGCAAAAGGTATGAATAGGCCACACTAAAGGAAATACACATTGAAAACCAAAATGGAAAATGGTCATTCTTGTTGCTAAAGAAGAAAAGTATAAATAATCAGTTATCACTTCACACCTTTTAAATTATCTAAAAATCAGTTATCCATAAGGCTTTGGGAAAATTGGTTCACTTAGACCAGTGGTTCTCAACCTTGGCTGCACATTAGAATCACCTGGAAATCTTTTTAAAATCCCGATTTCTGGGCCTCATCCTCTGGAAATTCTGTTTCTTTGTTACTAATGTTGTGGCCCCACCCCATAACAAAGAAACAGAATTTCTGGAGGATGAGGCCCAGAAATCAGGATTTTAAAAAGATTCCCAGGTGATTCTAATGTGTAGCCAAGGTTGAGAACCACTGACTTAGACAATGTTGGAAAGTGTTAATTGGTATGATCCTTACATTTAACAATGCAAGAACCATTAAAAATGCTCATTTCCTTTGACTCTTGCACATTTATCTTACTATTAGAAATAAGGAAAATATTGTGTATTGCCGAGGTTCTTTCCCAGCATCAAGAAGGGTTCAGCAATCTGGAGAAGGCTGTGCGTAGATTACATAGGAGTTCAGAGACTAATAAAGAGTCCAGAGGCGAAATATAATTTTGTAAGGCATTGGGGGTCAGAGGAGCTTAGCTAAAGGAGCTAACATCCAAGATCTTAAGTCTAAGGTCTTGGGTTCTCCTTGTCCCCAGGACCCCGTGCTTTTTATTAACACAACTTGTCCTGAGGCGAGGCAGAGATATACACTTCAAAGGGTCAGGGTTTGGTACAGAGTCCATTGTCAGATTGGGGGAATTAGCCTACGGCTGTTCAGGTGTTTGGCCAGTAGGAGGCAATAACATGTAGATTAAGATGCCCTTTAACTGTCTGGCAGCCAAGAATCAATTTAATGTATCCTATTCAGGTTTGGTGAAATGCCTTACTCTGAGACCCGAGAACTAACGGGCATATTTGCGTTTATAGCTAGGGTTCTAAAATGTCACTTACAGTTCTGTGGCAATTCTTAATAATATGATAAATGTAACATGAGACTTCAATATAATGGGTGTGCACTGGGGTCACATGGAAAGATTTTCCTCTGTGCAGATATGATCAGAGATGCCCGTAGTCATGGCTTTATTTGTACCCTTCTTTTACAGTTTGAAGTAACTCTCCTTGAGACCTAAGGATAGAGGAAAGAAAAAAGAAGCAAAAGATGAGAGGGAGGAAATTTACTGGGAATATTGAGGAGCAAAGTTTATGAAAAGAACATTGTGTGGCTAGAGGCAATTAAATAGTCTGGAGCATTTCAGTTTGATTTGGAACAAATGTAAAGACCCAGCATGTATTCATTTTACTGGGTTATTGCCTGGAATATTAAATCAGATTATATCTGTATTTCTTCCAGCTTCATAAAATTCTTGGAGATAAGGTGAACAATACTGCTGTGATTGAAAAGCAGGTACTAGAACTTTGGGACAGACTGTATCATTCTTGGTTTGTAAAGGTAAGTTATTTTAGCTAAGGATTTCAATGGTAAACTAATAAAGTCCTTTTATTTTATAGACCCAATGACTAAGTAGGACTTTCGTAATACTGGAATTTCACTTATTGACATTTTTAAGCTACAGGGTCTTAAACCTTAGGCCACAAAAAGTCAAAGTGATTGATGGTTAATCTCCATGGCAGAGTCCACCAGTCCCTCTGCTGTATCAGTATTTTGTCATCTGTTCGTTATCATCTACAGCATCTCACCATCTAGACTAGCTCTGGGCAGGAGAAATGTAACGCAAGCCGCCTAATGTTAGTTTTTCTAGTGGCCGTGTTAAAAAAAAAAAAATAAACAGGTGAAATTCTTTATTCATAGCTCTTTCAAACCTAGTTATTCCTGCATTCCTGCCAATGCAGTTCTCTTCCAGACAGACAAGTTAGACTCCCCTCTTGTTTCTTTTTCATATTCTTTCCCCCCACTGCTTTATTGATAGATAATTGATACATAACATTGTATTAGTTTTAGGTGATCTTTTTTTCATATTCTTTCTGTTCCCTCTGCCCTCTTTATCTTGTACAGAAGATTAATAAGGGAGAGGAGGAAAGAAGGAAGAAAGCAAAAATGAGAGAGAGCAAAAAAAAAAAGGCAGAGGGATTAAAAAGGGGGGAAATAATAAAAGTAAATGCTGTGTTTGTGTACAGTTGAATATACACTGAGGAGTAAAGTGTGTCCACAAATGTACTGAGGAGAAAAGCACTCAAGCTAGGCTGAGACTCAGTAACTAGCATATTAACAGAAAAATACTATCTTTTAGGTCTTTAGGTGGAGTTCTTAATTGATTTCTTAAATAATGCAAAGTTTTTCACTTTTTTGTATTCACTACAGTGCTCAAGTGGACCTAAAACAAAAGAGGTTATTTATACTTTCTGTTCTTGAGCTTAAGATGGAGGTTTCACGTCTGAACTGTTTTTTCCATAGAACGTAACGCACTCTGGGAGGCACAAAGGACACAAGATGCATATAAACCGTCAGAACAGCTGGCTGGGAGACATTCTGGACTGGCAGGATATCGCGTCCTTCGTCCACGAGAACATCGAGACATTTCTTTCTGTAAGAAATAGTATTTATAGTTAAACTGGACTTAGAAGTAAAAACAGAAACACTAATTTTCAGTCTTCTTTACCCACTTAAAGGTCTTTATTTACTCTGTTTTTAATGCCACAACATTTGATGTTTTGAAAATTCTAAATGCTCTAGAAAGATGTCCAAAACCTGTAAACCTCAGGTGTAGCTGCCCTGATCCTGATGCCTGGAGAGTAACCAAGAGATGCTGAACCAGGGAGCATATGCATGATGCTGTGGCTCTCAGACTCTGAGCTAGGTATCCTTCTCCCCATAGGATGCCCAGAATGGCCCCAGCTGGACCACTAGAGGGGGAGCTGCCTTTCTGGTGGGTGAAGCCCTTCTGGCAGCTGGATATATGGTTTTCTCCCCCATGCACCATCCACCTCTGCCTTCGTTTTTTTGTTGTTGTTGTTTTGTTTTTTTTTACAAAAGGTTAGAAGGTGGCAAGGAACAGTTAGCAGTGCTGCGAAGTTTTAATGACTGCTCTTCATTCTGTAGTGTACTTTTTGGGGAGTCAGCCTGTGGCTTTTCACAGAAATGAGAAAAATGTTACTGTGAAATAACTTGCACCAAATTAACAAAAATCGATATTTGCAATGCTAGATTTTTTCAATTTAATTTTTATCCAAATAATAGATGAGTATAGTTGAAAAGCCAAAAATGCTTTAAGATTTTAAGTGAAAAAAAAATAGCAATTTTTTTGTGCTTCTCCACTTCAGTCTCATTCTCCAGAAGCAGTTGTCAAGTCTTTTATTCTGTTTTATTTTATCGTTTTATTTTTAAAATATACTTATTGAATTTATTGGGGTGACATTGGTTGATAAAATTATATAGGGTTCAGGTGTATAATTCTATAATACATCATCTATATATTGTACAGTGTGTAGTGTTCACCACCCCAAGTTTAGCTTTTTCTGGGTGTTTACCTCTGAATTTCTAAAATCCTGTTTACGCTGCTCTTTCTTGGTTTTGCACTTTTAGATATTATCTTTTGGCTTTCCAATATGGAAGATGAAGGTAAAGATGTGACTTTCTTTCGAGTCCCTCGGTGCTCTTCTACTCCTCCTTTGGGGTTTTCGTACAACTCCTTTGGTTCCTCCCCCCATTCCTGCACTCACACTTTCCCTTCCTCCCATTCACCTAATAGAGCTATAACAGTTTGAAATTGAATCTATCTATTTCTGCCATCATACTTTGCCCAACAGCTCTTTCTTATATTCTAAACCTTCCTTCCCAATCCTCTTGAGTACACAGAGAGGTTACTATTTGATCTTGGCAACTACCAGTCTACAATTAATGAATTCAGTTAATATCTTAAGAATTACCACAGGGCATTTCATATCAGTGTAACCTAGAAACTATTCAAAACTTAAAAAAAAAAAATTCCAGAATGACTGAGGCCCCCAAAAGAATGCCTGTCAAAATCACAAGTAAGGGCATTGTTGGTTTGTCTCTGGAATCAGTGCCATTATTCATTCATTCCTTTACCCCGCAGGGTCAAACAGTCAATCATGCATATTTTTGTAGGCATTGTGAAACATTTTCAAGATTTTATGTAAGGAGTTTTTGTAAATGAGACCAGCCTGCCAAAGTTCTCTTATGAAGACAGAGCTGAGGTTTGCAAGAAATGCAGAGGACAACAAAATATGCTTTAATAAGTGGTACATTTGAGGTAGGAAAGGAATGGGTAGGCCTTTCATAGCACAGATGGTGTAACTTGAACATATGACAAAAAACAGCTGCTGTTTTGGAAAGGGTAGGCACCAAAATAAAATCAGACGTTATGAGTTCTGGTCTTGGGTCTGGTTCCACATATTAGCTCCCTGCCCTTGGGCAAGTTTTTTTTTAAAAACTCTGGGCTTCAGTTTGCATATCTATAAAATAAAGATGGTTTCATCTGCATTTCTTCCCAGTGTTGTGAGGTTTATGGGATGAAAACTAAGGATATTTTTTTAAAAATTTAAGTTTTTCTGGTCATTTTGCTTCCATGTTTTAATATTACTCAGGGAGAACAGAATACACATCATAAAGGAATTAAGTTTATGAAGAAATAGGGAATAGAAAACATATAGGTGTGCTATTGGTAATATACATCTCCCTTTAGTAATATTTAACATATATTAGTAAACTTTATTTTAATATCTGGTTCTAGTAAAGTTGCAGGTGATGGATCAACTGAACTCAGTAGTTCTTAATAGAAGGGTCATCGTTTATGTGAGGAACGATTTTCAGCTGCAGAGCTCTGCCCCTGACCCTGTCTGTTCATTTCTTTTATTGTGATTTTAGTGAAGATGCTCTGGTAGTTGTAGATGAAGTTAAGTTGAAGGTGGAAAGAGGGAAGGAAGCAAATAAAACAAACGCTAGATTTTCATGGCCCGCACTTGTGAGCCTACATGCTAAGGCTGCACTTTGACATATTCTCCTATCGGTATTATTCCTATGCATACTATTTTTACAGTTGTAATCATGCTGTCTATAAAATTTACCTATCCTGCTTTTAAAACTTAGCATTATATCATAAAATATGCTCCAATTGTCATAATAGAGGTGATTTTAATGGCTGCCTAATATTACCTGGAATAGATTCATCATAATTTGCGTAATCATTTTCTTTCCTAATCAATATTCAAATGTTTTCAGATGATTTTTTTTTTTCAGTTCTTCCCTTTCAGTTTATGGTACTGTATTAAAAGCACACAGATACCTGGAGAAACTTCTTTCCCGAGGATTAGTTCTGATTCTCACTTTTCCTCCTCGCAGATCTTGGAGTCTCTGTGGATTGTTATGAGCCGAAACGTGAGCCTGCTTTTCACCACTGTCACCACGCTCCTGACCATCCTCTTCTACAGCGGCACGGCCCTTCTCAATTTCGTGCTCTCTCTGGTATGTCCCTATAGATAAGAACACATCACAGTTCCTTCCACAGTAATGCATATTCTTGGCGCCATTGGTGTTTCCTTCCTGTAGTCTCCAAATGTGATTTTTTAGGAGATACTGTCCTTTGTTTTGCAGATCATTTTCCTGACCACACTGTTTTATCTGTTAAGTTCCAGTGATGAGTACTACAAGCCCGTGAAGTGGGTGATAAGCCTGACACCACTGTCTCAGCCAGGCCCTTCTTCTAATATTATTGGCCAGTCTGTGGAAGAAGCTATCAGGTAGGGATAAGATTTACGCTATTCTTCTTTTCATGAGAAGCCCGTTCGGTTTCTGTCTTGAGCCTTCCTGGTAACGTTCAGTGCTAACCTAGTGAGGGAACTGCTGATGTTTAAAAAAAAAAAAAAATGTATCTCCTTTTGAGAGGATAATGTAAGCAGTGAAAATGTTGATAAGAGAAAAATTCCAAACAATTCCAATATCCTACTCTCAAGCCCATGGTTTACAAAGATTCATGGCCTGTCCCCCTCGGCTTTTCCTTCGAAGGCTCTTGCTCTAGGTGCCAATCATCACATTACTTGCTCACTCATATACCTCACCTTCTCTCAGAACCCTCCTTCTGTTCTCAGGAATTCCAGCTCTGTTCTGGGAGGGCGTCGATGGCCTCCCAGGGTCTTTCTCTCCCCCTCCGCAGCCAGGCTGTGCCTTCTGCAGGGGGTAGTTTGGACACTGGCAGTGCAGCATTTTGGGTTATCTTTAAGTCATAGTCTTTGTGTGCATTGTAGGTTCTGGCCAGAAACTTCCATCATGTTTTTCTGAGATCCATGTATTGCAGGCTTGGTTTCTGAATGAGATGCTTCTTCAGCATTTGTTTTTCACATGCTCTTTCCAGGTCACAGGCACAAAAAAAACGCCCCTTTTCTTTTTTCTCTTTTCCAGTAGGGAGAGGCCTTTTGAAGCCTCAGCCTTGTCCCTCATTGCTCTGAATTTATCATTAATACTTTATCAGATTTTTACTTTTCTAAAAAAATCTTTATTGTTGACAGTATTACAGATGTCTCTCATCTTCTCCCTTTTTGCCCCCTTCCACCAACTCCCACTCCACCCCAGGCCTTCCCCTACATGTTTACTTTCTATGACTAGCTACCCATGTTAACTTCTCATGGTGTCCTTTAGAGCTCCTTTTTCTAATAAGTTATTGGCCAGGTGGTTGTAAGCTTCTCTTGAACAGTGAACCTTTGGCTGGCATTTCTACATACTTGTAAAATATATATACCATTGCTTGGAACCAGTCTTCTGCAGAAATCTTGATTTGACTGATAATCCTGTGTGGCTGAGCTTGGCTTCTTTTTTTAATGTATTCATGTACCAGCTAGTGAAGATACCCCTTGGATTTTCAGAAAACCCTCCTCATTTAAATAGGATGGGTGCTCCTCAAATATCTTCTCTCTGGAAACTTTGGTAGGTTTTCTCCCTTTTTCCTACTTAGCAAGGCCTGAGTAAGGTCTTCACCAGGATCTTGAATCCTTGATTAGAAATCAAAGTGGGTTTTTTTCATTTTGGATAAAAACAAAAAACAAAAACAAAAACAAAAACAGTTCTTATCTACTGTGGTGCCCTTGGGTACCCGGGGAGGTGGGGAGGGCTTTCATGTAAAGGCTCAAAGTTTGGGAGCTTTCATGGTGAAGCTGTTCCTCGGGAAGAACCTCCTGGCCTTAGCAGCCTCCTCAGCCTGTGCGACTCTTGGTTATCATCTTTACTGAGTAAACGAATGATGAAAACTCCAGCAATAGATTAACTTTAGTTTATCTAAATGCCATCTATCTGCCAAAAAAAAATTTTTTTTTTTACCAAAGAAGAAAATAACATTCTGTCTTCCCAGTAGAATAAAGCTATTGAATCCACCATCTCAAAGAGTGGCAGAATCCTCTAGTCAGTTGACTTAAGCCAAGATTTACCAAAAAATATCTACCTTGTCCATAGAGAACGTCAAGAAATGTGTTAGTTTATTTTCCTAAAGTAATCTTTATTAGCACTGACTCTTTTTCTCACAAAAGCTTTTCTATCTTCAAATCTCAGTTTTTGAATTTTCCCTTGTTCTACTTTCTTCGTGAACCACTTGCTGACTGTCCTCTGAATGTTGGTCATTGAGTCACCTTTTTTTTCTTCTCTCATGAAAACCAAGTTATTCTTTGCTTTAAACTCCGTTCTCTAATGTCATGGTTGATTGGAATTGATAAGCAGAGCTATGTTTTGCTCCAGGATAATGAAGCCCATTATTCTTCTGGTATTCCAGGAGGAGCCGGTTCGGGGAGAAGTTCATGAGTTAACTTTGTGGTTCTGTTGAGACTATTCAGATGGACACATGAAGCTGATGGCTGAAAATTCAGGTCTTTGGCTCAGGAGGGAATTTGAGATTAGAAGAGTGGAGTCATCTACAGAGATATGAGGAAATCAGTGTCTTTCTACAAATGAGATTTGCCTTATCAACTTGAGTTTGCACACATTAATCATGCACTCTAATAGTAGCCCGTGTCTTGGTTCCAGAGTATACTTGGACAAAACCCATTCATTTTATCATCTTATTTTTAATACAGAAAATATTTTTTTAACAATCCTTAGTACCATCCTAATGGTCTCAAAACTGACAGGTTTTTGTGAGTCTGAAAATAATGGTGTAAGACTAGAGAGCTTGTTACAGCCTGGGCCATTTTTCTAACCACAGCTATATCAGGTGATATAAATTAAAGGTTGTAATTCAGGATGATTTTTAGCAATCTTAAGTGCTTTCGGTCTATTTTTTTTTCCCTGGGTCAAATTCAAGACTTAAAGAAAAATGTATGGGTTTTACATAGATGCCTCTGAAGATCCTTCTCATGTGTATGAGGGCAGTGGGTTCTAGTTCTAAGGGCTCCTGTCGAACTTTTCATTCTGAAGGATTGTCTTCAAGATGGAACTTAGCTCTTCATGGAGAAACATGTTAAGAGGAAAAATATTGTACAGATGATTATGAAAATGCTATTATAGTGTGCGGAGAGTGTAGTTTAGTCTGCAAATTATCAGTGATTAACAGACTTCATAAGCATCAATCATTATTCATCATCGATGCTGCAGTTAAGCCGCTCATTAAACTCATTTTATGTGGTCCATTAATAACTTAAAGGTGGAATTGAAATTGGGAGTTAATTGCATGACCAGACAGTGAACATGTCTTTGTTCTTCAGGCTTTGCCTTTCGAAATATGTGGTTACTATATACTCACCGTCTCATTGAATTTTTGAACCTTAATTGTTATTCGCAATTCTGAATAAGCCGTCTAAATTAAATGCATTTGTGGTTGGGTTTTCATTTCATGGATTTTTGAGTCAGTGGCATGCATCCTTCATTCCCAAACCGTTTTCCTCCCCTTAGAGCATGTTGTGTCCTGAATGTTTGCATCATACCCTTCTTCCCTGATGCTCCCATTCTGCTTGCTCTGGTGGAGATATTGCACATTACTAAGTTGCATGTTCCACGGCCTCAGTGCAATTTAGTGTGTGTGATATTTTCACATGAGTGCATGCACACGGGTATGGCTCTTGCTTGTGGGATTGCAGCTTTTCAGTGCCAGTGGGTAGGATGTATGTATTGTGAGATTTTCATTTGGAAAGTGAACATGCTTCCCATGTCTATCCCCCAATTTTGGAGGATTAACAGTATTTGGGGTTTTTAAAAAAAATCAGTGTTGATCATTTAGTAAATCAGCACTTTCATTTTTTACTTGGAGCAAAGTGAATTTTCATTGGAAAGAAATTCTCATGATTTAAGGTTATAAACATGTATTTGAAATGTGTAAGGGAGAATTTAAAGCTGTTAGAAAATGTATTTTCATTTATTTGAAGAGATATCTCTCCTAATACTGGACTAGAGAGACAGACTTTCTTATGCATAATTGGGAAATTAAATTAGCTAGAGTTCTTAAATAATAACCAAATCAGTAAATGTAATGCCTATTTAACCTACTTGGTTAAAGATTGGTCTAATAAACCTAACCATTTACTTCTTTAAGTTTCCAAGGAAAATGACCTTAAAAAACTTTGTCTTGTATTTAGTTTCTCATTTTCTTGCTTTAAAAATTGCTAAATTTATTTTAATAGGCTTACAATAGAACTGGTGTTGAGAAACAAAAGTTTGCTATTTGCCTATATAATTGAAGCAACCCCTTGTTAATTTTTTAGTTAGCATCTTCCTATTTCTTTTTCTCTCCGACTTCACTTCTGTCCGCATGTCTCCTTCCCTGACTCTCCTGTAGAGAAGGCAAAACTGTAGTGACAGAAAGGATATCCAGTGGCTTTCAGAGACCCAGGTTTAGGGAGGGATTGACTATAAAAGGGCATGAGGGAACTTTGGGGGGTGATAGAAATGTTTTATATCTTGATTCCAGCAGTGGTTATGAAACTGTATACATTTGTCAAAATTTACTGAATTATGTACTTAAAGTTGGTGAGTTTTACTGTTTATAAATTATAGTTCAATAAAACTGAGACAGAAAAAGAGAGAAGAAAAATGGCTAGGCATTTCAGGGAGTTAAAAATGTTCTTAGTAAATGGTTAGAGGATTTTCTCTGCTATTTTATAAAGCTTGTGTACCAGATTGGAAGTAATACGATAGGGGGAATATATTGTCTTTTCCTCCCTCATTGAGTTGCATAAATATGTTTAGTAACTGCAAGCAATATATAATGCATTTAGGGTCCACAAAACTACTTAAACAGTGCTTTAGTGAGAAAATTACGAACAGTCAGTATTCCCAAAGACAGAAGAAAGAGGGCTGTGCTGTTTCCTGCAAGTGGTCCTTTTTGGATTGAGTGTTGCCTCCTTGCCACCCCGGCAGATGATTCAGTTGTGATATTCTGTTGCACCTTTGTGTCAACTTATTTTTGGCTTAACATTTCTTAAATTACGTAAGGTTGATGAAAGCACTACAACTCTATCTTTTCTCCTTGACTCCCCCAGTTCTAGTTAAATTCTGTACTTCTTTTCTTAGACGTTATTCTCATTAATTCTCTGTGGTGTTTGATCTATTATTATTCCCTCCTTTTCAAAAGCTTCTCTCTCCCTTGGTCTCTGGGAATACCACACTGTAGTGACTTTCTTCCTACTCCAGAAGTGATTGCGTTATCTCTGGCTGGTGTAGTGTTTGTCTGTGGGTCCTTTGAGAACACAGTCCATTGCCCCATTTTCTCCAGGCTTTCCCCTTGGGGTAGCTTATCCTTTTCTGTGAGTAATCCCGTCTGGCGTATCTCTCTTAGGCCTCGTCTTTTATTTCCAGCTACCTCATCTTCCTTTTTTTCTAACCATTGCCCAAACTAAATGTATTCCCTTTTCTTCCATGTCCCCTCCATTCTGGGCTTCTCCATGTCTTTGAGACACTGCCATGCTTTCCCCCTTTGCTGTTTTCCTTTCCCTCTGTCTCCTCTATTCGGTTACTATTTACATTTTTTATATTTCCTGTGGGCCATCTCCATTCTTTTCAGTCTTTTTGATACCACTTTAATCTGTGTCCTTATTGTCAGAGGTCACATGGCACTTTTAAGACATTCTTGAGTGAAAGCTGCTGGTCAGGGTGCCAAAGAAGGTTTCACATTTGGGGAGCCACTTGTCCCCAAATCCGTGTCTCCAAACCCTATGAAATGACTGAATCAGTAGGTTCCAGAGCTTGACTGTGCTCTGACAGGAAACCTCTTGGGCTGCTTTGAAAAAGCTTGGTGTTTCCTTTTGTGGGTTCAGTGCCACCTTTGCTTCAACAGCCTCTGCTTTTTCCATTGCAGAGAGCTTTTCCTTCTCATGAGGATGTGAGCGTGCCTCTCCTGTGCCCTCCAGAATCCCGACGTTTGTAATTTTGTGATGCCTTGTGATAACTTAAAATTTGCTGCTCCTGACACAGTACTGTCTTAATAATTTTCCACTTGAAAAGCACAAATGAAGTGCCTGAGACTGCACTTTTTTTTTGTATTTCATTCCTATTAATCACCAAATATGAGTATCTGTTTTTACCCCTCTGTGTGTGTGTGTGTGTGTATATATGTATGTATGTATGTGTATATAATGTTTTTAGGGAATATGACTTAGGGAGGTTTTATTTATTTTTCTTTTTTTTCTTTATTGATTAAGGTATTACATATGTGTCCTTATCCCTCCATTGCCCCCCACCTCTTGTATTTTTGTCTCTGATTTTACTTTGGAGTTAATATGTTTGGTTTTCTTTTTCTTTTTTCTCTTTTTTTTTTCATAAATTCTCTCCTAATGACAGGCATTCTTTGGTAGTTGGCATTTGCAGAAGTTACTTTGTAGGCTTGGTTGAATACTTGAAGAAATGTGGGAAATTTTGTCAACAGAAGGGAGGCTGCTGAGTACAAGTTCTGTTATCACTCCCTTGCTCTTCCCAAAGGGGAGGGCTGGCCACAGCCTAGCTGTCTTAGAGTTTAACTGTATCCTCAGAAATATGATATTCACACTTGATTTTCCTTTCACCTATTTTGGCAGTAAAAGGTCTGCTTTAGAAGTGAAAAGTTGATTAATTATCTCAGTGACTAGGGTATTTAAAGGTGTTTTATTCCACTTATCTTTTCACCAGAAAGAAATGTAAAGAATAGTTTAGAAAACATTTCTGGGTTTTAAAAGAAGTCTTTATGTTTCTATAGAACAAAATGAAAACTGCATTCTCAGGCAATGGAAAAATTGAAGCTGTTATCAGATTTGTAACGAAGTAGCCAGAAGCCCAGAAAGAGTGATTTTTCTGAATCACAATATACTATGTTCATTTACTTACCCTTTTATCTTTGGGTCCTCTAGAGGAGTGTTTGATGCTTCCCTCAAAATGGCTGGCTTCTATGGATTGTACACCTGGCTGACTCATACTATATTTGGCATCAATATTGTCTTCATACCATCAGGTAACGACTATGTCATAACTTTCACTGTCCTCTATTTAAGGAAAGTTAAGCCATTTTACATACATTGGGAAATGTCCTATTCCCCAAATTAAAAATACTAAAAGTTTGAGATCAAATCTAGTCCAAATTAGGAACAGAAATACAATTTGTCATGTTAATTTATTGCTGTATCCCCAGTAGCTAGAATAATACCCAGCATATAGAAAGCACTGTGTACTGTTTGTTGAATGAATGAATGAATGTCCTATTACTAAGTATAACACCTAGCCCATAATAGGCACTCAATAAGTGTTTGAACTGAACTGATTGGCAGGAAGCAGTAAGTTGATCAAATAGCTTTGCCCCATGAAGGAGGTTGTCCCATGGGCAAGATGAATGCTTCTGAGGGCCCATAAACTGTCCCCACACCTCTTGAGGTCTATTCTGGTAATACCCACATTCCATATGCACCAGGATGGTTTAATGACCATCTTTTACTTTCTTCTGTGTTATCTCTGCTCCTCTCCTTCCACTTTTTCTACTTTTATTTCCGTGGCTGCTTGTCTTCCTAAATATATCTGCCTTCCACATGTGCCTCTACCACCCAGTTTTTTCCACTGTGGTCTGTGCTCCCATCCTCCTTTACATTCCCAAGTTCATCCAGGTTCTTCCCTACGTTGTTTTCCACAAAGCCATCCTCCGACATGCAAGCACCCTGAGAGCAGGGAGGTTGATCATGACAGCCCTACAAGGCAGGCAGGGCAACTGATGTTCCGCCGTAGAGATGAGAAACCAAAGTGTTCCAAAGCCACAGGCCTGGTTCATGGTTAGGACCGAACTGGAATCCATGTCTGCTTGACTTTAATCAGGAGAGCCCAACTCTCTGTAGAGTGCTTTCATGTAATGTTCTGGCAGGAGACAAGCTTGAGTAAGATCCTCAACAAGCTGGGTGTTTTTTATTTTTAAATTACATTTCATTTTTTTATTAGAAAGAATCAAGGTCAAGACTCATCTCTGAGCTATTGAAACTGATTTGGCTTTGAACTCAGTACAAATTTTGACCAGTGTTCTATAGTTACGTTATAGGAGTGTATATTAATTAACTACCATTGATTCAAAATAACCACAAGACACAAAAATTTAGTTGCTAAAGAATAAAGTCATGAAGTAAACACACATTTTAGAAAGATTTTCAAGATCAAGTTTTAAGATCTCAGACCTTCATTTAACTAGCAAAGTTAGTTAAACAAGGACATAACATTCCCTGAAAACTTGAGTTGCTATTTAACTTGTTTTGGTGGAAATTTTCAAATGGGAGAAGCTGCTTAGGTTCTGCTGTTTTGCTGATGATGTTCAGTTGCATTTCTTAATTAATCTTTTACTAGCTTTAGCAGCAATCCTTGGAGCAGTGCCATTTCTGGGGACATACTGGGCAGCAATACCTGCAGTTCTAGACCTGTGGCTTACACAAGGCTTAGGATGCAAAGCTGTCTTACTGCTGGTTTTTCATCTCTTGCCAACATACTTTGTAGATACTGCCATCTATTCTGATATTTCAGGGTAAGTATCCTATAGAGCTTCCAGGAATCATGTCCAGGGATTTCTGTGGCATTTTTAAAGGAGAGTTTTTATATTTCTTTTGGAGATGGGAGAAAGGACAAGGGGTGGGAGCTTTTAGTGAAGTAGCCTTCTGTGATCCCACTATGTAATCAAAGTTTAATTTAACATAATTAATATTGTTTTCAAGGTATTTTGGTATCATGTAAGTATACTTTGTAATAAATAAGACCCTGAGTTAAAACAAAAATATGAGGTAGGGGAGGCCAGGGGATTGTCAAGGGCGGGGGAAAAAAAAGAAGGAAAGAAAAAAAAAAAGAGAGACATATGTAATACTCTTTGTAACACTTTAAGCAATAAAACTAAAAATAATATGAATAACATAGGAAAGAAATATTACTAGATGTACATAAAATATTCAAAGTAACAAGTTTGTGATTATTTTCAGAAAGTCTTTGCTTTTGGAGAAAAGACATTATTGAGTTGTATGTCTGGTGATTTCCATGTAAAACCAAATCTCATCAAGCTAAATATTTGACAAACAGCTCTCTTATTTAAGATGTTAGATAGTATGGTTCTTTGATGGGTACAGGTTAAATTTAAGACAGAAGCCAAACTTGAGCCACATAATATCAAAATATATATATACTAGGAGCCCAGCTCGCGATTGGAAATCGCACAGAGCTGCCCACCCACCTGCAGCCCTGCCTTGACACCCGAAGCTGTCCATGCAGAGCTCCAGCGCGCCTGGCCCAGCCCCCAAACCCTCTGGCCTTCTCTGGCCGCTTCAAGCTCTGCCCTCAGTCCCTCGAGTTGCCTCGGGCTGGTCCCGCCTTCTCTGGGTGCCTACCCCATCTCCGGAGCAACATGGCGGCTCCGTCTGCCCTGTAATGGCGCCGGAGGAGAGCATGGAAGCCTCCTGCCTGTTGCGCTGTGCTCCTTCCCCTGGCAGGTGGGCTGCAGGGCACTCAGAGTGTGAGCAGTGGGTGGTGAAGGACTGTTGAGGGGGGCACTATGGGCTCTCACCTTTGCCCTCCCCAGCACAGGATGGTCCCACTTCCTCCCTGGGCCTCCCGCTTCTGCCCCATCTCCAGAGCAATACCCCAGCTAATATGCTAATGACCTGGTCATTACCATTATGGCATGTCGACCATTAGCATATTAGCTCCTTATTAGTATAGATATATTTTGTAGATTTTGATATTTATTTTAGAACTGATTACACATATGTAATCTATTTTACTTTATTTTAATAAAGTAAATCAAGCCAAGTCTCATTTAATTACATATTCAGATTCACATTATTTATTCGAATCTGGGATGTCACCAGATGTTGAATTTTAATCAACTTCTTAAATTCAGGATACAGCCTACCGAAGCTATCATACTAGTAGTAAGTTTTCTTTCAGTAAAACTCATCATCACAAATAAGGTTAGATGTGGTCTGAGTTTATAGAAAGAGTACACCCTTCAGCTAATTTGAAATTATATAAAGACAAATTCTATGTCCCTTGTTTTCTCTCTAGTAAGTTAAAGTAGAAAACAAATGAAGTAGAACTACTCTGAAGCTCCAGAGGTCCAGAGCAAAAAGCAACAAGCAACTCTATAAACAACCCTCCTAGGAGCTTTAATGCCTAAAACTTGAGAGAGAAGATTAAAGATAAGAGAACATCAGAGTGTGGTAACTAGTGCTTAACAATTGATATGTAAATAGTAGGAATAGGTACACAGTTTATATCAAAGAGCTTTCATTTCTTTAAACTTTACTGCATGTTTTATATTAGGTAAAATTTAAAATTTATATGTAAATTTTTTCTTAATAATAAAATAAAACCTTATTTAATCAGCATTATTAGGACATGAAAGGTTTTGCATAAATTAAGCTTTTTCTTAAAAGCTCTCAGGACATTTTTTTTAAGCAGTAAGCATTTTTGATAGAACTTTACTTAAATGTATCATTTATTGACAGCATACATGGAATACTGCCCTGTTTCCTTTTTTTGGAAAAAGGAAGACAAATTGTGAATATAATGTATTAGTTTTCTGAAGACTGGCTTACTTCAAATGTTACTTATTGAAATATAATATAATATAAAACACCCTTCTAGGGTATATAGTTATTTGCCCCTCCCTGAATTGTTGTAGTCATGTGTGTTTAAAAACTAGAAACAAGCAACATACCCTTTTCCTGGTTCCCCTCATGTCAGTGGTCCTTGTTATCATTATCATTGTGCCGTGCTGCTGTCATCTATCTTATTTTGTTCCAGTTATGTAAGTGATACTGTGATATGCTGGAGGGCAGTTATGACTCTCCTGTGAAATAAAAATCTTGGATTTTCTGACAGGTCTTTTCCTCATGAGGCCTTTTAGCACTACCTACACTAAAAACTACTAGTATACTTTTGGGGGTTGTCAGAAGTCTAACCTATGAGTAACAGGGATGCTATTGTATTGTCATCATCTTTAAAAAAGCATAATTAGTTAATTACATGCTAAATTGGCTCACTTAATTGTCTTAATGGAGGTAAACCTAATAGGTGACTGATATAACCAATCCTAAGCCGACATTAACCCACTTCAGTTAGCCATGTAATGGGTGCTAGGTACCTGTTAACAGTACTGACTTCACTCCTCCAGTTGCTGGACTTATATGAAAGGCAAAGGTCAGACATGTTATGTAGGCAAGAAAATTCTTCCATCTCCATGTTATTACAATATTCAGTTATCCACATTGAGATAATCTGAAGAGAGCGATAATATAGTCAAAAGCGTGGTGTATTGGAGAATGACCATTGTGTTAGAGAATGTATTTCAAATTTACTCCAGGGTTTATGTTTGTTAAAAGTCATGAGCCAATCTGTGTGCCTTTTATTCCAGAGGTGGCCATCCTTACTTGACAGGCCTGGCCGTGGCTGGCGGAGCATACTACCTGGGCCTGGAAGGAGCAATCATCGGGCCCATACTTCTCTGCATACTTGTGGTCGCTTCCAACATCTATAGTGCCATGCTAGTGAGTCCCACGAACTCAGTTCCCATGGCAAACCAGACTCCGTGGCCTGCTCAGAGTCAGCGGTGAGTTAAAGCGGAATGATCTCTGCCTTCTTGACCCGAGTGGTCTGGCAGGATAGAGGTGTTTCAGCGCCTACACTCTGCTAAAGGTGGTAGTAGACACTGAGTAGAGAGAAATCACTGTGTTTTGTGTACCAGGAACATTTGAAAACTCAGTTGGGTCAGAATTTAGTTAATGTCATGAATGACCAAAAATAAGTGAAAAATATAAAATACTATTTTGGGACATGGTATGCCAGATTAAAGATGCAAGGTAGAGGATCATCAAATGCAATACATGGATCTGTGATAGGCAGGCATGCATGGCAGGTCAACTTGGGGACCATGCATGTCTGAAGAGGCTTTTCCTGAAGTCGTAATTGATAGCTTGCCTGTTTAAAAATGTTTCTCTTTAGATTGTTATTTCTTCCCTGCTTCTACCTCCCACGGTTGTTAAAACTGTAAAGCCATTCTGATTCCCGATTCTTTGTAATTCAACTGTTTGAAGGCCTGTAGGATCTTCCTTTTTTTTTAAATCCATTTTTTCTGTTGTTCTGATTGGCACTTTTATTCAGTGCCTTTGTGACCATTAAAACTAGAAATTTATGTTCTGCAGTTCTGAAATTGTTTCTGAAACATTTTGTTAATGATTTCCTTCTCTCCCTATCAAAAACTTACTTTTATTTAATGCTGATCCTCATACACTGGTCATGTCATTTTGTCATCTTTTATTTGCTCTTCTATTTTCTGTCTCTTTGGCCCTATTTTCTGGGTGATTACTTTATCTTCTAAAACTGCCATAGAGATTTCCATGTCTGCTATTGTATTTTTTTTCAGTCTGTTTTATTGAGGTATTATTTTTGTAAATAAAATTGTATCTTTTTTAGTATACAAGTCTATATCAGTTTTCTATAATCCATAACAAATTACCACTAATTTATTGATTTAAAGCAACATACTTTTATTATAGTCATCCCCAGGGGTCAGGAATCCAGGCACAAGTCAGCTGGTCTTCTGCTTGGAATCTGACAAGGCCACAGTCAAGGGGTCAGCTGCAGCTGGGGTCTTTATGTGTGGATTGGGGTCTTCTTCCAAGCTTGTTTATTATTGGCAGAACTGAGGCGTGCAGCTCCCGTAGGCCACTTCTCCAGACCGTTCATACATGGATGTTTGCTTCCTCAAGGCCAGCTGGCCAGTATTTTTCCGACTTCTGTCTCTGCTAAAACCCTTTAATAAAAGGCTCACCTTATTAAGCCTGCCCCACCCAGCATACTTTTCTTTTGATTAAAGCCAACTGATTAGAGACTTAATTATATCTGTAAAATCTCTTCATTTTTATAGTATTAACACATTTCGTACCGCTCAGGAGTTTTCTCGTGTTTCGCGTGCCATCTGTTAAGGACCGCTCACGAGTGTTCTCGTTTTTCACGCCCATGGAAAAAGGAGCGAATCTAGATACTTATATAAATTTTGTTTGGTCCCTCTTCATAGAGGAAAATGTTTTACGCAGTACCATACGTTAAAAAAGTACTAGGAACTTTAATTGTTTAATTGTTTTTGTAAATAAAAATGTTATAATTATTGAAAAACAACACCTAAAGTGCATTATGATGATTTAAATAACGTGCAGTTTGCCCCAAAACGTGTGGTCCCTGGCGTATGTCTTAGAGATTTCTATGCGGTACGCAATGCGTTAACACAACATAATCATGATATCAGAGACCAGATATTTTTGGCTCTTGGCTCATATTAAGAGTGCGACACTCACTCAGGACCTGTGAGTGGGTTATGTATGTTACTGTGATGTAATCTGGTCAGGCCATTGTCTTGTGCAACCTTCGATGACAGTGCTTTGGCGTTCCCTTTTTGGGCTAGTAAATGCCTCAGAGAAAGATCTTCTAACCTCCTGCCTAGAGGTTGATGGCATGTTCAAGGTGTAAGCATTCACTAAATGACTCTTGACTGCATATCTGTCTTTTCCTTTCCCACTAGACTGGTTGCTGTGACTGCAGGGGCCATGTCAGTTTTAGTTACTGGTGTATCCACAGCACCTGTTAACAGTGTTTTGTACTTGGAATGTGTTCAATTCCTAGTTGAAGGAACGAATGGGCTGTGAAGGAATAGTCTCTACTGAGGCATGAGCTGTGGAACGTTTGGCTTCTCCTGGGAACTCTGACATTGTTACAGTGTGAATAGCGGTGGATGGTTGCATTTCATTAGGCAGACTTGCCTTCTAGCTGCAGGTGCAGGCACCGATGGCTGAAAAGACCCATTTGCAAGACTTTCTATGTACTATCATCTGTCTTCAGACGGATGATCAACTGTCCACTTGAGGAGAGATGTAGGAGGGAGGACTCCCTGCCCACAGTGGTGAATGCAGTATGTGCTGGTGGCGAATGTCGCAAAGCATTGGGCTTCCCACAACGTTGGGCTGATTCAGTCAGTAATCAGAACCTCTTTCTCTTCTCTGTTAACACTGGGGCTGTTTGAAAGGACAAAAACGCTCCTGCAATCATACGGCTTGGAGTACTTTCTTGATATTTGGACTGGGAAATCAGACTAGATTTGATGTACGTATTTCACTCCTACCAAAGGCTGAGCAGCAATCTCTGAATGTCAAAGCTCAGAAAAACCTGTAAGGAGGAAGCAGGACTGTCCCAGGAACTCTTCCAGGAATGCCGTTCTCGGCATCGTTTTCCATTGCCCTCTGTCACACCTTGATACCCCCAAAGGCGACAATTGAATGTGGTCCTTTAGGAGCTCAGGTTTATCTTTCTCTAGGGAAGAGTTATTACGAACTCCTTGCTGTTTTGAAGAGTTATTTTTTTCCCTGTTTCTGCAAAATGAGATACAGAGATGTTCTCCCAAAACATTACCGCTCCGGCAGACCTTTACATTAAACCTCAGAATTTCAGTTGGGGTGTACTTCCCATCCTGGTTTGGTATAATGAGGGGGAAAGAGGGAAACCTGGTTACTAGGGAGCTACTGGACTCACCCTCTGCTGACTGTTGCCTCTCCTTTGGCTCTGTTGCTGGCACATTTCTTGAATCTGTTCACCCCTCTGTGTTCCCTGTGGGGTGACCCAGTGCTGGGGTTACCCTCAGGGGCCTTTTCTCTGTCCCCTGCCCCTCTAGTCTGGCTCCCTCCAGTCTGCTTTCCATAGTGCGGCTAAGAGAGACCAAGTTTTACCACCCAAAATATACCTTTTGGGATATTGATTTTAAGCTGGTTATTAAGAAACGGAAGACTCAGAAAGAACTTTTGACTTTCCCTCCTTACCTATCTAAAAGAATTTGGATTAAAAAAAACCTGCTTAAAGGAAAGGAGCATCACCTTAGCATCTTATTATAAACTAAACGTGGCAGACAGGTAGAAGTCCAGCAAAGCCTGTGTGTTGAGTTTCCTTCTGTGCCCCATTGTCTCCGGGTGGCCCAGCAGGAATTGGTTTACAAGGGGTTTGCCCCCTCTCAGCTGCCTATGAATTGCCTGCGTTTCCTTTGAAATCCCAAACCCCTGCCTCCCCTCTCCTTTGTCCAAAGTGGCATATAATCCTCAGGTATCTTTGTCCAATGTATCTTTGGGTCTCATATCTTATGACACCCCAAGTGTACACTTGTAATAAATGTAGACATGTTTCCTGTTGATCTTTCTTATGTTAATTTGATTGTTAGTACAGCTAGAGGAATTTAGAGGCGGAAGTGTTGCCAGTGGAAATGGGGTCCTCTCATGGACTCACAAGGAAAGCATTCCGGGTGCCCACATATGGGAGGGTCAGGTGTAGTGGTAGGATTTATTGTAGAAGCAAAATCGTTGTGAAAGAAGGCCAGCCTTGTCTTCATCAGGCTCAGAGCAAAGGCCAGCTTCCAGAGGGAGGTGCTTCCTCTGTGCTATTTGTTCCGTCCAGTTCAGTCCCTGTCCCCATCCCGCTAGGTTAGCTTCTGTTCCCAGCTGTGCCCTGGCTGGTGCTTGGAGTCCAGTGGCTGTGGGGCCACAGGTGGCTGCTAGGGCTGCACAGCTGCTATGAAGAGAGAACGCGCAAATAGGGCGAGTGTATGTTGGGGGCAGGAGTGAGAGAGAGAGAGAGAGAGAGAGAGAGAGAGAGAGAGAGAGAGATCCCATATGCCCTTGTTAGGCTGATTATATTATCTCGGGCTTGGGAAGGACCAGGCACCCTTTCAAAATAACCAGTCCACTTCCCAGTCTTTCTTGGGCTGGCACTGGGCCCTCCCCCTAAGCAATCCATCTCCTAGATCTTCTGGGGTGCTGTGTCCCCAATCCAGTCCTTTTCCCAGGCCAGGCTCTGCGGCTTTGTGATCACCATCTTAGTTCCTACTGTGCATGCCTCAGAGTGGAAGCACCTCCCCCGTGCCACCTGGCTTCTGCGCCTGTACCCAGCAGAGCCTGTACCCAGCAGAGGAATTTCTCCTGCTCTTTTTATTCCTCCCCCTTCCCTGGTAACTGTAGGGATTAGGTCCCCAGGGTGTAGGATGCAGAGGTTCCCTGGGGAGCCTATGAATGCTGCAGTTTCCTAGTGAAGCAGGCTTATTATCTCACTCAGCTCCTCAGTTCATGATGCCCAATAATGTCTGATTCCCTTTGCTCCTTTTCTTTATTACTGTCTAGCTGCCTATGCTAACATGAGGAAAGTTATTTTTGCACCCCCACAAAGCCTCTCTGGTTTTCCTGAAGCATAAATGTTATGCTCCTCTGTGCTGAAAATTCCCACAGTGGCTTTACATGGCCTTCAAGATAAAATGGAAACTTTTCATGGCTTCTTTCTGTCTACCTCTGCAGACTCCTCTCTCTGCTGCCCGCCTTACATTTTATTTTCTAGCCAATCTTGAACTTGTTTTAGTTCCCTGAAGTCAGTGTCATCTATGTACTTGTTTTTCCCTCTGTAAAGAATACCACCCCCCTTCTAGACAAATCCAGTATCATGGTCTATACCACTGGTCGGCAAACCGCGGCTTGCGAGCCACATGCGGCTCTTTGGCCCCTTGAGTGTGGCTCTTCCACAAAATAC